TGCTCATCGCATTGAAGAGGATTGTGACAGACACTGCACTGAGCCATTTTTTCCCACTGAGATGTTGTGTAATATTATGCTGTTTGCAGAAACACTGATATTTCCCCCTGTGCTGCAGGTACAGTGCTACAAGGACCACCACTGTTACAATGCCACAGACAGGCGCATCCTCAACATGTTCATCTCCATCTGCAACGATCTCCGCAACCTCTGCCAGAAGCTGGGAACGGTGCATCCTGGGGACAGCGTGTCCAACGGCCTTGTGGAGAAGTGTAAAGTGCTCCTCAACGACAGCAACGACCTCACAGCCATCCGAGCCACGTAGGTGCCTCCTCAGCTCAGCTCAGCTCAGCTCAGCTCAGCTCAGCTCAGCTCAGCTCCTGGCATTTGGCTGTCACTGCTGGAGGACTGACACTGCACGTTCCCACCTGGCTTCACCACCACTTCTGTCACAGCACCTTCCTGCCTTTACTCAGGGTCCAAGGGGCTGGCCAGGTTCCTGTTCCAGCTGTTGGGAAACCACTGCCTGTGTCCATCCACAAACAGAGTGCTGGTTTGTTTGTCCATCCTTTTTCTGGTGCAAGGCAGGGCAGGAGTGTGTCCGGAGCTCCTGTAGTGCTCGGGCAGGTTACCTGCTCCTTCCTCCTGCTGCTCCTCTGCACAGAGCTCATTTCTGCAGGGCAGGTGTCACTACGTCCTCTCCAAGACTGCCAGACCTATGCCAGGGTGGTTTTTGGCAGGACTCATGCTGTGCTTTTCCGTTTTTGGGAAAGGGCTGGCTGTGCAATCCTGCTCTTCCATGGGCGGTCTGAGGGTGGCTCCCACGGCTGCACTGCTGCAGCTCCTCTGCCAATCGTTTCCCTCTGTCCCACAGCTACCCCCACGGTGTTGTGAACTACCTGAGTTTGGAAGAAGCAAGGAATCGCTATGGAGGGGTGGTGAGCCTCATCCCCATCGTTATAGACACCATGAGGGAGTGGATAACCTACATGAAGAGAAACCTCCTGCCTAAAGTGAGTCGCGTATGTGCCACGGCCAAGAAGGACACACCCAATTCCCACACCCCACCTGCTGGGCACTTTGCAACTGACACCTCCATTAGTAACAAAAATACTGTACAGTTGCAGGACAGAGAATTCCAGAAGTACAAGTACTAAGGCCCTTGTTTGAAAAAATAAAGCTCCTTGGATGCCACCAAACAAACACGCCTATTAAAGGATCAAAGCTCCTGCATCATCTGCTCACCAGCATTAACATCCTGGCTGATTAAATACAATGAAATTAATATTAGAGATGCATCCTGAATCCTCTTTCTGAAGAGTTCCCTGCTGCCAGCCTGCCACAGATGCATTGGCTGTCCCTTGCTGCTGTTTCCACTCTGCTCCTCATATCCCCACAGAAGCAGCTGCAGCTCCAGCTGCTCCCTGGGGCCAGCACTGCCGTGGGAGCAGGGAACACTCAGGACACCTCAGACTCTAATCTCTCAGACATGAATCTTGGACAACTTATTTGAAGTAGGATTTGACATTTTCTCAGCCTTCTCTCTAATGAACATCCCCTCCCTGGCACAACCAGCGGGGTGAAGAAGCTGCCTGGCTGAAGGATATGATGCAGAGCAGCAAAGGCCTGGCATTATGAATTCGGACAGGTGTTGGACGTTTACGCTTCTCTCTAAAATCCCCTCACCGACACAGAAATGATTTCGTTAGCTGGACCACAAAATCCCTGTTTACAGGACAAA